CCCACTGGTGGGGCCAAACCACGTGCCAGGACGTTTAGCTAGGACCTCCTGGCCCATCTTGACCATACGATGCAACGACAGAGGCGCCTGGGGGCTGTCTAGAAAGAGGCTCAACACGACGCTATCGTCAGCATCTGCAGAATAATGTCACTGGAGAATAAGCATCCTGCCTCACCTTTTCCAGCCATTTTAACAGCTTGGGCCAACAGCATTTGAGTAGCGCGAATCTGCGGGCAGTTGACTTCGCTGCAGAGTACTTGTCTTCGCCTTACCGCACAGCCCCATCCTTTATCGCTGACACTGGTGGGCCCGACACAGCCCTCGATGGGCTCGAACGCACAACGGTAAGTGAAAAGAATAATGTCCACATAAGCACGATACAACGGGCTGTCCTCGGGCGGCGGAGCGGTGCTGCATTTGGCGTCTACGACGGGTGGGGGATAGGTCCGACCTGAGCGAGGGAGGAGCTGATCAGCACAGGGGAGGACTGGTCCTACCCAACATGTGGACGTCTTCATTTAGAGGCAGCTTGAATGGCATCAGCCACGTTTGCAGTGAGTGGAAGATACGGGCCAAAGTCGGGGCGAAATTCTCGAATGCCATTTAGATAAGGCAAGAGAAGACAACTTAACGCGATGAAATCTTCAGAGTGAGGTCCCAGATACGAGAGAATCTTAGGTTCCAGCCGAAAAGATTCAAAATAGGCCCGATTATAGTCCATCAGAACGGAGATTCCCAGGTCGCATACCCGATCATGGACATCATTAGTCGCGATAATCATTCGCTTAAACCTCCAACCCACGGGAGATGCCCACATCACAGAATCTACCAAGTGGCACGCAAGTCGGCGCTTTGTCGCGCGCCACGAAATTATCATGCGCCGACTCCCGAGCGGAGGAGCAAGATTCAGCAGATATCTCGTCCGAAATTCAGGGTAGACCCTTTTTATTTTCCCAAGTCACCACAGATAGATGCCTGTCGACGCCAAGGTGGAAGAGAAGATCCTATCTATGGTCACCATTGCCGATAAGAGAGTCCACGCTATGGACCAGGTAAGCGGCCCAAGGTGTCACCATCGCCCTTCCCATGCTGTTGTTGCTACTTCAGACTGCCGCTGAGGTCTGTTTCGAGAGCCTCCCAACCCCAAGGCTAGTGGGCAGGGACAGTAAGCGGCAAGTCAGTCGAGGAGGAGCCCTCCTCAGTCCTTCCCTTTTCAGTGCCCTACATGAAGGTCGGGGCCGCAGTGAATATCGCGGCCCTCATGCAGGAAGATGCCCCCACGGAGGAGTATACGCTACCATCCCTTGCCCACTTTCCACGGTGTCCGCTGACCTCAGGTATTTTGCCAAGTTGCTGAGCGGCGGTGCCTCTGTTATCGTCTTGGACATCACTAAGGGTGTTTTCACTGATGGAGGTAGCCCCTTCGCGTCCTCTCGTTCGGTGCCATTCTTGTGCTCTTTCCAGTCAACCCTCAAGCTTTGGTCGACAAGCTCAACACATGCGTACAGATGATCAGTAAGCCCATCTTGATCCTCTTTTATAGGGAAGAAGCTCTCCCTAGGAACTGCTGGAAAGGGCAGTGGAATGAGTCGCCCCTTTTCCCTCGCCCTTTCTGTGGCAAACAACGAGTTGGCGAAGTTGTGCATCTCCAAAGTTGCCATACCACGCGGTATTGGCTCGGTCATTATCCCTCCGGTCCGCACTGGTGCTGAAGTGACGGCCTTCCGCAGCTCAGCCTTGGGCATGAGGGGCAGAAGGATCAAGATATTCGTAAGAGGGCAGCCCTTACTCACTCTGCTGAGGGCGGCTTAGGTACATACTACCTCTACGAAGAACATTGACGACTTCCTCCCTACTGTGGATGGAATCGTAAGACTTTTGGCCGTCTCTCGATCACCCCATGAATCTACGAGGTCATGTCGTTCCGCCACTGACCGTCAACTTTAG